CGTTTTCAGTGGAGAAGTCCAGGATCAGCTTCACGCCACCAAAAGCACCTGCTGCCTTTCCATCCTTCCCATGGATGGAGTGGAAACACAAGGATTACCCTGCATTAGCAATGCGTGTTGGGTCTTTTTATTCACTGAGCAAGGGAAGTTCAGGAGAACAGCAGCAGAAATTTATGAAGTTGACTGGAGGTCTCCAGTTCTGCTGATGACATTGTTTTGTCTGAGGAAGTCATTCCAAGCTGTGCTTTTTTCAAGTCTCTGCATCTTGGGCCCCAGAGTTAAGTATGCAAAAGCCTTGCTGGGCAGCTGTAGGTGGTCCTGCTACTTGTTAAACCTGACAGTTGAATGTATGGATGCATAGTAATAGCACTCAGTTAATCTCCATAGCCTTTGGGAAGCTAATTGGTTGCTAAGCTTTCTTAAGGGTCAGATACATGACTATAAAACCCCAGTCTGTCCTCTGAAACACAAATGATTTTAGCAATTCTTATTAACATACTCAGTTACTCTTTTCCACTTTTGATACATATGCATGAAGGACCTTCTGTTGCAGAAAATATCTGAGATTTGCCAAGAAAGCTTCAAAGCCTGCTCTGCAGACTGAGGGCTGAAGATTATTGGTCAGGACAAGATGCAAAATGTCTTTTGTAAAATAAAAAATGAGCATTAGCCCTGAAGGTGATGAAGAGTGGAAGGAGTAAAATTAGCTCCTAGTTCATGTGTTAGCCACAAAGAGACTTCAATTTTAATGAGTTTATTGTTTGATAGATCAATTTCTATAGACTTATTTTTGCCCACAAGAGCTCTATTACTGAACAGTTAGGTTTTTCCCGCCCCCCCCAGAACGTGTTATTTATGCTATATGGTTGGTTCCTCATTATCTCTTCTAATGTTGGTGTCATCAGAAACTATACATCTCATTTTGAGATGTTCTGCTTATCTACCCATCTGCTTATCTATCCATCTACCACCCATCAAACTCAGATATATCATACATAAATTGTTTCTAAAATTATCTCTGGAAATGAAATCAAACTCAACATGTCTATAATCTCCATCCTTCCCTCTTTCCTTTCACTGGTAACGGGAACAGTGTTTTCTGTCTTCTCATTCTCCTAGTGACATTCAAGTGTTAAGCAAAACTTTGTGAAGGCATGCCAGGGGCAATGCCAATTCCTTACATAATCCACATAGTAGCCTAGAATGACCCCCGTCCTATCATGGAGATTTATTCATTCAGTGCATGCAGTCCCGTTTTTTCTATAATCTGGAAGATGTCTTGCATATCCTCTCTGCTTATGATCAGACTCTCTTCAGATAAGCCCTCTATACTATTATTGTTCATATTTTAGATTAGACAGACAACTAAGGTCCTGACTACTTGTGGTCATTAAAGATCTGATAGCGCTTTTCATAATAGAAAGGGTGGTAATCCCCTGTCCTGGCCATAATCCAACTTGGTTAATTATAGTCTGCCTACCAGAAATTCCTCCTGTTGCTTCAGTAGATGCAGTGCTTTACCCTTCCTGTCTTAAACTCCTGCGTGGTGCTGCTGTGTGTACCGTTGAATAACTTTTCACTCTGCGCCATAGGTAGTTGCATTTCAGTAGCGAACTTTACAGAATCATTGAATCTTGATTGACATGTCCTGTGAATATTGATTTATTACATTTATAAAGTGCACTGGGATGTATAAGGCACTCCATTTTTACCGTTCGTGAAGATGCCTTCAAGGCAAGTATCCCATCCCTGGATTATCTCTAGATCCTGAATCAGAAGGATGTTGTGTCTCTTCATAAGTAGCTCTGTTTTCTGCTGACCCTCCCCTTTCCCCCAGTATACTCACCAAATAGTTATTCTCATTTTTGTGTCAAATGGTTTCTTGCACAATTCCACTGTTTCTTCATAACCTTCTTGATATGCTCCTCCTTTGCTGCTTCATATTTCTGGCACTCTTTCTTCAAGCAGCGATGGAATTACGGGGTGAGAACCGTAGCTCATAGAAAATAGCATAACTGTTGATTTCCGAGGAAGTGCCAATTCATATCATCTGAGGATCTGGACCAAGGTCTTTTAACGCATGCTGACAGGCTCCAATTTAAATGCAGGTGTCTTGTTTCCTATAAGCATCTGAATAAAGCTCAGCTATAATTTTGATATACCTATTTCTTTTCCATGGACATATTTAATTTCTGGAAACATTCCACTAAATGAATAATGGGTTTTTTTGGTGCACTGAATCTTTTATATTATTTTAGTAACATTTTGCTCTGTTGCATCCCAGTCAAGACAAAACTAGTTTACGTCAGAAGGTAAGTTTTTCAAAGGTTTCTCAGTTTATTTTTGGAAAGCCTTATTTAATATGATTATAATCTCATGGAATACAGCATTGCAAATGTTATCCCGGGAAGCTGTCATAAGATGTTAGCATGCCAGAGCTGGGATCCAAGACAAGGTGCTAACCTTCCATTTTGTGACCCAGACCAATCTTGCAAGCTCTCAGCTGGTCAAGACAGTGGAAACCCTGTAAAATCAACTGACCTGAGAAGACTTTCGCCATTTGGGCCCCAAATGGCATGAAAATAGCTCACAACATGTCTGTGTCATTCTCAGCTCACAAGATATTTGAGGCCTACTCTTTATGCAGTCTGAAATGCAAATCTTGAGCTAAATAAACTTTGAGTAAAAGATCTCTCTAAATTGAAAAAGGTTTAGGATTCAAGGATGAATTGGGATTAGGATTTAGAGACCCTCTGGGCCTACAAAACCCAGAATGGTCCCAAATCTGGAGTTTAGTTTTCTATTTAAAACAAAAAATCTCCCTCTTCTCTAGTTTAGGTGAATAAATAATGAACTGTAATGAAGCTTACCTTACTTAGGCAGTTTACCCCATATTCTTGGATGCACTTAAGTAATGAAAGGAGGCTCTTTCCACAAGGTCCTCTGACCCTTTTAATGCAATTCTTAACACCACGGCATCCTGGGGTGCCCCAAAATCTGTTAAAGGGTGCTGATACACAAGATAAACCCAGAGATTTCCAATGAGAATCAATAGCACCAGAAACATCCTGACCTGAATTCATTGCAACAGGAGAATTGCTTTATTATTTCTCCATAGTCAAGGAACAAATGAAAGCTAAGAACTATCATTTCCAAGGGGTGTCTCGAATCTAAAAAGGTTGAGAACCACTGCTCTACATCCTTTCCTATTCATTGCTACAGCCTTGCTACAAAGTTGAAGTCAAGAGAGAATTGCCTGGATTTCATTTTTTCTTGCAAAACTTGACATTCAGCCTCAGATCTCGGAAAGGTCCTCTAAGGTTTACAGACCTTTCAAGTGTTTCTGGGCCCCGTCTTGAGTAAATACAGGCTAATTTATGGTCTTGCATTGAAACTATGTGAAATTTGTGGTTTTGCATAGTTCCACTGTGAAACCAGGTGAAACTCATGAGAGGGGAAAGATGGTTCCTGCCCAAAACACAGCACTGGGAGATGAACGAGGCTGGCTCTGTTCTGAGTTTAGTGCAGAAGCTGTCTGCGTGGCCTGGACCCGATCACTTCACCTCCTTCCGTGCCAGGCTCTCGATCACTAAAATGAGGGCAACATGGCTTACCTGCCTTATTGAAAGTTGTTGGGCTTGACTTAATTACTGTCTGTAAAATGGGTTGAAGTCCCATCTTTAGGCATTGTGGAATGGTAAATAATAACTTGCTTAATAATAAAAATAGGACCCCCTTTTTCAACAGAGCTTCAGCTGAACTCATGTGGAGACAGACGGGAGGCAAATCCACGCAGCGTGAAACCCAAATTTTAAAGTGAACCTCCGGGAAGCAAAAAAGTCCGATCAGATGCCACTCGGTGAGAACAGACACAGACTGTAGGTTGCAACGGATTGCTTTGTAAAGAGCTTAATGAACGCAGGCAATCTTTAGTCAATCCTTCAAATCAGGTGCTGTCTCCAGACCTTTTTTCTTCCCATGCTCCTCTGAAGAGGCAGCGGTTGACTTCTTTGTGAGCAGATTTTTCTAGAAAGCCATCTGTTAATGCTAGGGATCAACTTTCTCAAGGTCACCAGCTCTTCTGTAATCTACCCTCATCACCTTCACCTTCAGTTTGTGAATCCTGAGCCTCCCTGCACCTTTGGTGCACTTTCTGTTGTGTTAAAGGCGGATGGTGTAGCTTTAAGATTCAAAGACCTTTCCCAGCTGGAAAAGGTCATTTGTCTTTCACTGCTCAACACTTTCTTCATGAGTTCATTTAAACATTGCCAGACATCAGAGAAACAGAACTCAGCTGTAGGGTTATCTATTTCTTATTCCCTTTTTATGTAGGTGGCAAAACTGGTCTAGAACAAAACTGTTTGGTTCCCATAGCAATTTACAATGTGTGGTTACCATAATACTGTGCTCTTCCCACTCCTTATCTACACCTGTTGTTGCTTTCTTTGCTTCCTATTAGTTCAGAGCTGTAACATCAGCATTGTTTTGGATAGTATTTGCAAAACTGCTCCCTGGATCTGCAGTTCCTCTCTGTTTCTGGTTAAGAAAGGATGCACGCCTAATCTTATAAATAGAGTCAACACTTTATTCATCAGCTACTTCCAGTTGCCAGCTTAAAGAGAAGTTAATTAAAGAAGGGAGCGATGGGACGATAGTGTAGCGCATCTGCTCATTTGGGTGTATTATTTATATGAATTCAGTCATCAAAATTAGTCATGTGCATTATCTTGCAGTGTGTGGTCTGGACTGAAATGGGATGTCTGACTTCAGCGACATTGGGGAGAGCTAAGATACGCATTTGGTGTGTTACCCACTTAGATCATATTTTGAAAGTTGGTTATGCCTCCCTATCTGCCTCTATCTGGAGGCAAGCTGTGTCAGCGTCAAGGGACCATTAAAAGCTTTCAGCTTAACGTCGCAGCGCGCCTGCCATGAGAAAAGTGACAAAAGTCCTCCTTTCCCATAATTTCACAGGAGCAGCTGCTGAAATCTCTGTTGGCTTATTGTTCGCTGGCATTATGTAACCTTGTAGCATTTTATTCCATTTTGGTGTGGCGAGCGCTGGTTCTGCGTCTGGCTGCTGGCTGCTGGGGCTGTCTGTGTGAATCAGAGCTATGGCCCTCAGAACATTTTGACAATAGAGGCTCAATGAGGATAAAGACAATCATTGTCTTCCCACCCAGTGACAGGAGAAACACATTGCTTACAGCAGGACCTGTGCCAAGTAAAAGAGCACTATGCAGTCAGTCAAGGAGTAAGAGTACCCGCTGGCTCTGGCATAGTGGCTGCTGTGATATTCAGCAAGCCATTCTTCACTGCAGGTATTGTATCCTTTTTTTTTTTTTTTGTTAAACTGCTTCCTCCTTTCATGTTTCCTCTTGCTCTTGTCTTAGGACATGTGCCAGGGATAGACTTGTCTGAGAAAGTAATCTGTGGATCCTTCCTTCATTCTGGGTGGTCAATAAACTCCTCCTCCTCCCCCCCCACCATCCTTGTTTCAGTCCCTCCTGCAGAGGAAGCAGATAGAGTTACTAATTTCAGGCAGGGAGGATCGTTTAATGATCCCTCTCTTTAAGGTCACTGTCAAGGCTGTTGCATAAATCCACCGACTAGGGGCTGCTGTAACAGCAGTGCAGTTAACTGGAGACCGATGGGTGTAAGGTTACAGAGAAGTGCATGAAAGTTGCCCACTTAAATCACTGAAACGTTTTAATTGACATTCAGTAACTCTCCCCTTTTCTCGGTGCTGTATTTTAATTGAGTGAGTGCCACTAATGCCGGCTGTGGGGGTCATCGTGTGCACTTTGGTACTGCTTCTGTGTTTTGCTCTTGCAACAACACAGTCCTTGTGGAATGGATCAGAAAACTTCATTTATTCACTGCTAAGGGGCGTATAGAGAATCACAGGCATCTGCACAACAGGTCACGGCTTGAGCAGGACCAGCCAGGCTGAGAAATAGCATTCAAGCTGCTGTCTGCTGGTCCTGTACACATTTGTAGGCACTGCTCAGACATCTGGAGGGCCATCCCAATGTTCTTACTGCTTACGTGAACTGAGACCCTTTATGAATTACCCCCCAGCGATTGTGGGAGACCTTGTCTGTTCTTTGCAGGAGGGCATTAAAGGACCTGCAGAACCTGAGTATCAAAATCCTGGATCATGCTACGGTGGGGTTGCACCAGTAGTTGATGCATTGTGCTCACCTGAGTGCCTCAGATGAGACAACTCAAGTTAAAAGCAAAACTGCCCTTGAATAGTATGGACAGAGCTAGAGTGAGGGACAACACAATATACCAGAAATTAACTTTGCAGTGACAGTGGCCCCCTGTGTTCATGGGACTGGTGCTTTTAAATCCAACAGGGACTTTTGCAAAACCCTGGCCACCAGCCCCAAGTATCAGCCATATCTGAAAACAAAATGGGCATCTCTCCACAGACATTTCAAGCAGCCCTGACTGATTTAGTGACTTCCAGCTATCCACAAACGTACTGATTGGCAAGTATTTTTTGCTGCATATTTTGCTACCGTGCTCCCCATCATTAGGATAACTAGCTCACAAAACTGCTTTCCTGTATCCAGTGATGTGAGCTGATGTAAAGAGTTGCTAGGAAGTCATAGTGATACATGTTCTGTTAGTCCTAGAAGTCCAGGCCCCATGCTTCAAGCAGGGGCACAGAAACTGGGGAGGAAGAGGAGAAAGGAGAGGCAGGGCAGATAATTGCTCTGAACTGCCATTTGCTTTTCCTACAAGGCTTACCCTATGATAGGATTCATGCTGACCGTGTCCCGGGGTATGCTCCATGAGGAGGCCCATATATTTTGGGGGATTCCTCTGGGTTTTTGTTTTTTTGGGTTTTTTTGGTCTTCCTCTCTACAAAAATGTATTTATACACTTGGTTTCAAGTCCTTCAGTATCATGTATTGGCTGTCACTTTCTTGATTGACTAAAGAGGTAGATAACTCTCTTATGTTATTCCTGCAATTCATGAAAAACACTGTGTTCAGGCAACAATGGATAGCAAATCAAAGGATATTGAGGCAGGAGAGAATGAACCACAGAAGTGACAGATGAAGATCTGAAATGTAATCTAACAGAGCTACAATTTTACCCAAAATGCACTTGTGCTTCTTGTATAGAGCCTAGAATTTTATTACTAAAACTTGTAGTCCTGTAGAAACAAATGAACATTTTTGCTTGGATGGTGCTACCTTCATGAGGGATTCTCCCATGGGGTGCAAAGCGTGGCAAAGGCTTGCTCCTGTTGAATTGTACCTCACATCATGAATAGTCCTATTGATTTATAATGTTTTCCTACCTAATGAATATCTCCAAACTGGTGAGAGCGGCCATCTTCTATGCAGCAATTCTCAAAAGTAGTGCACCTGGCAGTGAAGTGTCCAACTTTTATGTGACTCGATTGGAGGGTGCCAAGTGGTCTCTCTTTCTGGATGAAAAGAATAGCTGCCTACAAGACCCAGAATGATCCCAAATCTAGAGTTTATTTTTCTATTTAAAACAAAAAAATCTCACTCTTCTCTAGTGTAGGTGAATAAGTAATGAACTGTAATGAAGCTTCCCTTACTTAGGCAGTATACCCCATATTCTTGTATGTACTTAAGTAGTGGAAGGAGGCCCTTTTCACAAGGTCCTCCGACCCTTTTAATAGAGCATTTGTGAAGCAGGAATAAAATACCTCATTATACTCTTGTTGATACTCCTGTTATCCTCTGGTGTAAGAAAGGGGGAGAAGATCACATGATCATCTAACTCTTTACAGTGGGCGCATATACATGTGCAATGAATGTGAAGCAATGAATTCCGGCACTTATTGTGTTGAAGTTTATTTCTCGCGGGCACTGTGTCTCCACGTGCGCCCAGGACTGCAGCACATTGAGCGGGGCCAGAGCAGCCCTGGCTGGCAGGGAGCACTAGGGGTCAGGCTGCCAGCCCGGGGCTGCTCTGACCCGCCTCAACGTGCTGCAGAGGGGCTGGCTGAGCCCCTGCACTGAAGCACCCGCATGTCCCACCTGCCCCATCAGTGTCTACAAGTGCGTTGCTGTAAAGAAGTCCACCGCAGGACAGTAATTGTATTTACAAGTACTATCCTGCGGCAGAGGTAATTAGCTTCCTCCATCCTAATAATACCACCCATGTAGATGGTAACATTTTACTGCGGGGCTAATTAGGCAGCTACACAGTAAATGTCTCATGCAGTCGCACCCGCACAGTAATAACCTACATCAGCCTTTGCCTGCTGACTGAGAAATTGGAGCCATATTTTATTTTTCCCCTTTTAAGCTGAAGATGAACTTCAGGAGACACCAAAAACAGTTTATTTTCTAGACTTTGCATTCTTCAGCCAGAGGAATGTAAAGGTAACCTCACACGGTTTCATTTAAAAACACAAATTCAGAGGGAAAATACTGAGGTTTTCGACCACTGTCTCTGTTAGTTTATTAAAATATTAGTCTTATAGGTGTGTTGGACTGATTTGCTTTCCATGGTGTTTAAAAATAGCTGTGAGAATAATGGGTTGCATCAAAAATCATTAACTGGGACATTACTTTCATTTTTAACCACAGAATAAAGTGTCACAGCCAGATTAAACAGGCCAGGAAGGATTTGGACTGCACACATACAGTTAGCAGCTTTTATGTATACCTTAACCATGGAAAATCCTGAAAGATATTAACCATCTTCTAATACAGATTGGTCAGAAAGAAAGGTCAGGTTGTTCAAAGTACCTGGTATTTGCACCAACTGACATTAAAAGGCTCAGTTATTTATAGCAATTTGCCCCTGTCTTCACAACACTAAGAATTTGAATGAGACTGCAGAGATGAAAGAGCATTTCAGACTAACAACTGCAAATAGCTGTAGTTTAGCAAAGTGCTAAAGGTTGTCATGTAAAACAGAAGAGTTGACTAACTCAAGGATAGACTTTAATTCTTGTTGTGGGTAAAAAGAGTCCACATGGAAAGTATTTTTTTTCCTTCTCTTTTGTTAATGATGGTTGAATGTTTAACTCCCTATGGAGTGCAGTCCAAATGGCAGGCTCTTCCCTTCCAAGTTTCCTGTATGAGCTGTATGTCTTTATCTTTTTATATCAGCTGGCCTCTGTGATGGGTTTATTATTTTAGCAAATATTCTTGGACGGGGGAACCAGAAAGCTGGGGTCATATGAGGAGACAGAAAGGATAAGGGCATTTCTGAGCCGAAGTTGTATGACTCTATTGCTCATCCTTTTGTTGAAGCTCGGGTAGGTGAGTGACCCCTTCAATTGGACAGGAAAAAATATGAGACTTCTCCAATGAACTCAAAAATATTTATGAGATTCACAGGATAACCTCAGGGTCTACTGTGGCCAAAGGGAACCAAAACCTCTGTTAAAAGGTATGAAATTCCAGACAATTTTCTTTTCCCCTTCATTCTGCCTTATGAAGCCCTCCCACAACTTTCAGTGTCATCTAAATAGTCACACTGACATACCAAAGGTGCTTTCTGCTAATGGAAACTTCACAAATCAGCATGAAACAAAAGAAGGGGATAGGACTGCTGGGGGGCTGGAATGGAGAAAAAGGGACATGGATATCTGTAGTGTGCCTGTGAAAATGTTCCTTTCAGACCATTGTCCAGACTAGCATGACAGAATGGCCAGCTGTTTTTTAAATCTTTTGCAGCTTGACGTTGCTGACAAAGGGGTACTTCTGGAGACTTGCTGCTCAGGCCAAATTTGCAAGGGACATTATCTTTGGAAGAGATGAATCTTACATCAAGTAGATACACTAGGAACAGACGGAATTAGCCAGATACTGAAGCCTTAATTTACTCCAACACCCTACAGTAGTGGTTTTCAAACTTTTTTCATTTGCGGGCCCCTAAAAAATATCTTTGGGACAATACAATTCTCTTCCTTAAGGGCAAAGATCTCCCATTCTGGAGAAAGAGCCTTTTTGGAAGTGGCCTGAGGTTCTGGAATGAATTTCCATTGAAGCTACTAGTTAATGCAATCGTCCCATCTTCCTCTCTGAATGCAAGACAGTTGGGCCTCACTATCTCTAATGCAACCACACAGCAGTATGTATAGGTATTACAAAACAAAACAGCCCCCCTAGAAAACAAATCAGACAATTAGAAATAAAAAGAACAATCAAATCAACTAATGCTTCCATGCGCCATCAAAACCCTACACTCTGTACAGTTTCCTCCTCTGGGGGAAAACAAACAAAATACATGTGTTAATCATTAGGGCTGTGTGAAATTTTGCTGGCTGTTTCATTTCAGCACTGTTTCAACTCATTTCAAGGTTGAAACAGCA